GGAAGCCTTTGGATGTTGCAACGGTCGTAGAGGAGAAGCCCGGAAGACACGGAAAGGGTGTTGTTCTGGTCGGACCGAAGTCGTGCTTGAACTTTTCGACAATACTGAATGATGTGGTGAACGGATCGTGGGGGACAACACAGTCAGCGAGGCGGAGTTGATGGCCTTTTAAAGCAACAGCCACCCAGTAGAGACTGGCGCGTGTCGCGGCGACTTGTCGTTTCTTCGCAAGAGAATTGCCCGTCGAGGCAGATCGGTCGCTTATATGGATGTTGCTGCCAGGGTCGGCCGTTAGCGCCTGGTTCTATCGGTCGTTCGGAGTGAAGAGCAACGTTAATAGCCGTGTGCCCGCAGACGTCGAAGCCAGAACATTTGTGAGATCCCACATAACTGACACCGGAAGACTGCAGGCCATCTGATAGGACGAGTGCGACAAACGGCGCATCCTCTTGTGGTTTGTGGTGTGCCCGCCGCGTTGACCGCCCCGCACGTTCTCGGCTCGACACCCGCCAGCGACATTTACGGGCCGCATCTCAGCACCACGCGAAGAACCCGACTGCTGAAGACGACGCGCAGAACACATCTTCGGCACGCTTAACTCCTGAAGCGCCAAAGTCCGACTTGATCACGCCGCCAAAATTTCGGCCTCTTCAGAATTTGGTGCTGGGGCGCCCGGCCTTGGTCTTACAGCCGGGAAGCCACCGCGGCCTGCAGCACCTATCCGCGTAGATCAACTGCCGCGACGACAGCCATCTCCTGTATTGCAGCAGCCATCTCCTCTGACACAGCCATCGCCGTCCACAGTGGAGGCGTCTCCGCTGCAGACTCCGGGCCCGTCAGATACCAATGGTTTTGCGCAAGCCACAGGAAGACGGCCTGAAGGGAGGATGCGTGCGTCGATTGCTTGTGCGAGATGTCGTCGGAGCAAAACCAAGTGCGAGAACGGGGGCAGTGGCACCGTCTGCAAGAGCTGTGCCATCAACAAGAGACCGTGCGAGTACAAAGATGCACCTGCAACACCCACCAGCGGTGGCACTTATCAAGGCCGTGAAAGCACCACTGGGGAGGTTGATGTGAGTGCATGTGTTTCATCATGTGATTCTTCGTGCCCAATCAGATCGCGAGTCACTCCTGTCTGATGTCTCCAGAGCTGTTCCTGAGCTCCGCATTCAAATTGTTCTTGTCTTGCGCCTTGGACAAATGTCGTTGAGCTTCTGCAACTCCCCGCTGTGCATGACATCGAATCATGCTTCCATTTATCTTCCACGAGCTCCGCGGGCAATCAAGCAAACTGACATCTCCAATCTAGGTGCAGCCCAAGAAACGCAAGCGGACTACAGCCCCTAGCTCGGGCGTAGTACATGGCTTGACTGATGGTTTGCGAACACATGAAGACCTTTTGGACTCGCCTTGGCTGGTCCCAAAAGTCTGGATAGAACTGGTAAGCAAGCCAGCTCTTAGCGAAAGACTCGGGCTGACAAAAAGTCATAGTTTGACATCTACGAAAAGCATTTCGCCTCAGACCTCCCATTTCTACACCGCAGAAGATTCTTGAGCCCCCTGCAACAAGATGCAGCCGGCGACACCACTTCTCCGAGAAATGGCAGCGAATCATTACCGCGCCCACCCCACGATGCTCCGTTGTTACTAGCGTTTCTGGCTCTGACAGCAAGATATCATGGCGAACTCCTGCCTCGTTTTGGCGGATCGAAGCCGATCGCAACTGCGCAAATCTTTGCCGATGCAACGCGCAAGAGGCTGTCAGGAGTAGACAGCAAGCCGTCATTGGAGAAGGCACAGACATATCTGTTCCTTGCTTACCACCAATTCACAGCCATGCAAGGTGACGACAGTTGGCTCGAGATTGGAAATGCAATCCGAATAACTCAAGTCCTCGGCTATCAGCATGATGAGTCTAGGAAAGACTTCGATGTCGTAGACAAAAATGATGATTTCGCACAAGAAGAAGCTTTCATCGACCAGGAGATTCAACGCCGCACGGTTTGGAGTTGTTTCATCCTGGATCGACTTGCGAGCTGCGGAAAACATCGCCCGCAAGGCTTGAACGTGGAGGATCTGAATGAGATTCAATTGCCCTGTAGCGACATGGCGTTCAGTCGAGGTACACAGGTGAGAACAAGGCGTCTAGGCGAGACTGACAAAAAGTACGCCGAGCGGAGGGAGTTGGTGAGGATTAGACACCTCGAGCAAGCAGACGGCCCGCGTGACAATGCTCGTGGAAGTCGTGGGAACGATGAGACTGAATGGGAAGTGGGCGCAGCAGAAGGAGAGCTCAGCTTGTACGTGCAAGCAGTGAATCACTTTGGGAACGTTATGCGATGGTCGAACAAATCTCGGCGGTGAGTTACTTTTGTGTCGGTTTCTGCATTGTCTCTGCTCACGCAAACTAGTCAAGAAGCATTACCTCCTTATGAGAACGGGTCCAAATTCAAGGAGCTCGAGGAAGATGGTCAGCGGTTGAAGGGCGCACTGCCAAGAAATCTCACATTAACACCGCGAAACACGAGCCACCACGTAACCTACAAAACCGGACGAAACTACTTGCTCATTCATGCCCTGCATACGCTCTGTACGATTGCTTTGTACAGAGAATACATGCCCTTCCTTCCGTTCATTGTTAAGAGGCCGCAAGGCCCGTTAGACGAGCCGCGCATCGATGAGAAGAAGTTCCCTCTACCACATCCAGATTACTGGGTGAAGCAGGCACGGGATTGTTTCGGCGATGCGAGAGAGTTTGCAGACCTCCTCAAGGCTTGCCGAGCGGCAAATGCGCTTGCGGAAAGCCCATTCGCTGGCTTTACATGCTACATCGTGTCTTGGTGTGGTGAGTAATACTTCTTGCCCCGTGTCGTCTATGCTGAATCGTTCAGCGTTATACTGTCACTTCTTCCCACGCATGGATCCGGATCGTGCACTGGACTCTCGCTTACAACCTAGTGTGTGGAACACCATTAATGATATCATCGTCGACATGGAGGCTCGTTTCATCATTCCCAACCAGTGGCTTGATCTCCTCGTGCGGGTCCATCGATTCTTCAAGGAGAAGCGAGCGGACTATGTCAGTAATGGCGGTTCGCCTGGGAGCACCAATAGTGATCGCGGCGGTGATGCTGGCTTGAAAGACTACATTGGGTTCTTCGAAAGCGCCCATAAGGGCATTGGTAGCGTCACTGGAACCTGGAATCCAACGCCCGTCAATCGCGACGAACTGATGCTCGAATCACACGATCGGAATGAGGCAGAAAGTCCCGCAAGGATTTGCATGACCGAAGGTACACCATCCGCTTGGACGACGGTCAACAAGTCCTCCGCAGAGACGGAATCGGTGGGCGAATCGCCTGCGATGATAACACAAAGCCAAGATGTGCGAAATCACGGCCAGTACCCTGATGCAATCGTGAATGATGCAGCTCGGAACCCACCGTACAATCTCCACACCTTTCAGCCGCTTCAGACTCCCTTGGACAGGCATGCAACGGCCTCTGCCTCTCACTATGCAAACACAGGGGCCCATCTGCCAATGATTTCGGCAAATCGCAATATATACGGAGTCCAAGGCTCTGCTCCCAGCAATTCGACCACGCATGTAGGAAGCCAAGGCTATTGGCCACCGCAACAAGGCCAACAGGCTCTGCCGAATTACCAGTATTTACACGATCTGGAAGCAGCAGGAGCGGCTAGCAACTACAATGCTGACCTTTTCTTCATGCAGCGTGCCGACCCATCCATTGGTGAGACGTACGATCAGAACTACCAAGGGATGTGGCTTGGAGAGGTCCCGCAGCTTCCAATCCACCAATACTCCTGGAATGAAACAGCATATGAGCCCCAGTAAAAGACGGGTACGGCGCAGAGTCGGCGTACCTGCCTATCGCCATGCGAGGTCGTTGTCAGTCCTGACTTTGTACTACTTTTTTGGGTTATTTCGTTGCGCCTCAGTACGTTGACGATGCGCATTTCCGTATTCAGGATGGCTACGACCGCCTTTTACTCTCTCACATCGCGACGCGTTCGGCACTGGTGTGGTGGTTGCGGCATTGGGAGTGAAGAGGAATATCATGTACATTTCGGGTCCGGAACACGGCGGCGCTTTCAATTTCACAAACACGGCTGGCTCCTTTTATCAAGCAGGGGTCACTTGACGGCGGCGATCATGTACGAGCTCTTTTTTATCGAGTGTTTCGAATAGTACGGGAGGCTGTCTTTTGCTTTCGTGGTCTGGACAGCTACGTGAAGCTGCCACCACACGTTGGTCTTTTGCTTGCATATTCTCAAAAGGATGCGCCTATCTTGGTATCTCTACAAAATAAGATGAGTGTTGAGTGTCACTCTACTGCGGTTGCATAAATCGCTCTCCGCGCGTAGGCGTGCCTTCGTTCACATCAATTGCACGCGATAATGTCGAAAGCCACAATAGCCAGTGCATTATCACCTGACAGGGCGCTAACTTGATAGCTCTCATGTCCATGAGCATACTAGCTGTGTATTCTGCTTCGAAGCTGTGTTTGAAGAGAACTGGTTATTATCCATCCTTCAGCTAATCTGCGTGGTACCAAGTTCTGCACATCGTGGAAGGTGCTCATGGCCAGACGCATGTGTGATATGCACAATCCTGTTGCCTCAGCTAACAAAGCACAACAGAGTCAGGTACGTGACACTAGAGTGCAGGTGCACAAATGAAACGCGACATACTCCGACCTCCCATAGTGATGCAATGATCAAGACGTCTTCCCGTTTCTTCGAACTCACTGCCCTAACAATCCGTACCCAAGTATCGCACCTTCCCCAAATCCCAACAGCTCCTTCCTCACACCCCTCCAGACTGCCCTACTCTTTCCCCATCTTCTCCAAGCTTACCTCGCCTTCCTAACTACCCATATACCCACAGCACACATCCCGAAAACCACCATTACATCCCCGTTTTAGTCGATATATACCTCAAAATTCCCAACCACAACGTCGAACTACAACACTATACATTCTAATTAGTACAGTGGCTAGTATATCCGGCTCTCAACTTTGCTTTGAGTTTCCTGGAAGACCGGAGTTCGATCCTCCGATTCGGAGATTTTTGCTTTTTGGTTTCGTTTGGTGAGGTTGGGAGGAGGATGTAACTTTGGTTTGTGAATAAGACGTGGTGAAGGGGGAGATGGGGCGGATGACTTCAGGTCAGTCCATGCTTCGTGCGCTTGGTGATGCGGCTTGTTCGAGGAAGGATGTGGCGGAGCGAATGAGTGGTTGCATGACTTGTTTGTGAGGCTACTTTGGGAAAGGAATGGAGCTGTCTGACGATGAGTGTTCTTGGTGATCAAGGGGCATGTGTAGATGTAGATGTAGATCATGGAATGGGGTTTGCTGTATGCTGCTGCGGCGTGCCTCTCTCTGCGTAGTCGCGGCTATCTGGTTTGAGTTGAGAACCGCGCGAGCGGAATTTGGCGACGTCACTAGTTGGTAAGCTGAGCAGTAGAATAGTAGATTTAAGGATTTATTAATAAAAGGCTTGCTGTGCGCACCTGACGAGGTCCTCCAGGAAGTGTAAGTGAACGATCAGAGCATCTATTCATGACTTATCAAGCTCTGACCCGAGGAGTTAGTGTAATATATAAGCTTCCATAGTTGGAATGAAGCACTCGATCAAATGCATGCGTGAAAGTTGCGAAAGACCTTTGATGCAAGATGGGCGCCAAAGCTCGAGGCAAGGGACTACGGACTGAGCATCTACAATCAGCCGTGATGTAATCGACAAATCACTTAGTCCATGTCGCTACTTACAGTCGGTAGCAAGAGATCTACCCCCAGCATACATGAGGTTGTTTTCCATTTTCGTCAAGTCAACGGTGCAACTCCACCCGAGTGGCAAACCTCACTACATCGTGGTGGCTGTGTGCATGCATACGAAGCCCGTCTTCGCATCCCATACTATTGAATTCCCGCAAACCTGTGCATTGGAATCTGCATCCAAGACTGCTGATCAGCGATAGATCTTGCGTTCTGAACGCTGTTTGGAAGATGTATGCTGCACGCATGCAGGTGCCAGATGTGTATTGTTTCAGATGACAGATGCAGTGGGATACCGATTCGTGGATGCGGTGCCACGGGGGTATGCATGTCGCTTATGTGGTGGAAGAAGGTGTGGAGGATTGTTTGGCTGGCTGGTGAGTGTGATTTGTGTGGAGAAGAGTGAAGCCTGCGTCGATCGAAGGGGCACCTACTATTGGGATTATCGCTCTCGATGGGCCGATTTGACGCCCTTCAGCTGCATTTTGCGAGGAACAATGTACGATTAGGCGATCGAGCTAAGGATCCTCTTTGAGTAGATGCGAGTGGGTGTGTTGCGCGAGTTCATGAATCATGAACTCGCAGATCTGAAGACCATAGCACGCGTGCACGCCTGAAGCGTGATCTCTGTCGAGGAAACTCTCCTCTCGAAGTCTACTAGCATGCAAAGCTGTTACTCTTTGCTTTTCGCCGTGCTTTTGACGCCGCCAGCCCACACAGGGTCTTTCGACGTCGCCATTGCCGTGTGGCTACGGGACAGGACTTTGCAAGCCGGTATCCTCGTCCCGTAATTTGTAACCGCATCCCCAAAGTCGAATATTGCCTTGGAAGAGGGATCAGAAACCGAAGGTGCATCTAACTTCTGAACGCCAGAGATGACGAGGAATAAAACCCCGTGATGTAGCACCCACGTTCTAGTTCCACAGCCATACTGCATCCTAGGCTAACTCTTCCTCATCCACATCTGTGGCTATGACCAACGTAATGCCAACGCATTCGCCACATGTAAGAAACCTGCTGCGTGTGCTCGCGCACGCCTTTGCGCCTACCAAGAATGTCAAGAACGATCGATTGGCGGGCTCGTCTCACGGAAAGCAACAAAGTCGATCGTAATGCGGGCTATCCCGCACTCCCAACGAGAATCAAACAACTCAAGCTGAGCCTCTGCATAATGCAAGCATCACCTTGCAGCATTGTCTCATGATGTGGACCGGACGGCGAGCGAGTCTCGCCTACTGTGACGTTGAGAAAGGCAAAGTTGTCAGAAACCGTGGAGATGAACAGGCCTGCAAAGCACGCAAGTATCATTCGATGCTGTTGAACCCGCGCATGTTCCTCGCCGATGACGCTCGATCAAGCCATGATGATGCTGAATGCATGCTACGTTCAACAAGAACGAAAAGCGTGCTGTGACATGCAAGGTCCAGCTCGACAACCGTGGTAAGCAACAAATCCTCACCGTTCAGAAGTTGCACATGGGAGATTGGATGGTGCCCAGATACCCAGCTCTACCAACTACCTCGTATGCCGTCTTGGTAAAGTCTTGTCTCGGTAGTCAGCTTGAGTGCCGTGTAGGAAGCAGTACCAGGTACCGTGCCTGGACGCCTAAACAACCAACCATTCGCACATACAGCAGAATTGCTCGCGCAGTTGATCCCCTATTACATAGCCATTCAGCTCATCACAACAGCACTGACGACGCTACCAATGATTCGGCCACCCATTCAAACTCAATGCCAAACGTCCGGTGTGCGCTCCGTCGTTTCATTCCTCAAATCTCCACGCGGGCGAAGAACCAAGCTTTTCATGCTCAATCTCGCTTGTTGCCGCCACGCCCAAACTAAACTGACCTTTGCACCATGAAAACACCTCCAGGATCCAGGAACGCTTTGCCAGTGGTGGTGGCCAATTTAGCAACCGGATCTTGCAATGGCGAGAACAGGTAATTCCGCTGACCAGGTTCAAGTTTGCTTACAGCACGTGTACTGCGGCCCGCGGAAGATTTCTTGCAATGTGTGTGAGTGAGACGGCAAGTGTAGCCTTACCTCCCCTGTATGTTGAGTATGTACCGCGCACTGTATCCTACGAAATCTTGTATCGACAGGCAATATACGTAAATTATCTCACTTCATCGCGCCACGGAGTCGCGCTCAGAAACAGACCCTGATTCTCCTTCTCCGTGTCCCTGCAAGTCTGCAAACTTCGCTCCAGCCCTGCAAAATCACGCTTTCCTCTTTCTCGTAGGCACCAAGCCAGGTCCCAATAATCTTTCGCTCACAGTAATTTTGCCTTTTGTAGTTAAGCCAATGACGCCACGCCCATGACCTGTCAATCTGAGCGACAAATCAAATGCCAGCGTGCCGACCTCGTGCGGTAAGCAGCCACGGCAAGCCCCCCAGGGGTGAAAACAGGAACATCAGAACCTTAAATGCACGGAAAGAATCGATACTATGGCGCAAGAACTGGTCCAGCAGAAATGCGGGGTCTGGAAGCCTTTGGGACTCGCCATGGCTTGACGAAAACACGAGGTGAGCTGAAATGAATTGCGATGAGCAAAGATGTGCAAATATTGTAGTATTTGATAAAGTGATGATGTGTCAATCGATTATGTACTCATTGATATGGCCATGATCAAGCCCCATTTTTATGCTCTAGTAGAACGCCAGGTATGATGAATGTTTGCGAGCAAGTCGTCGCTTTTGTGGTGGTTGCTCTGCAGGCCAATCCTGTCAAGACAAGCCATAGTATCCATTCCGATGACAACATACATACAATTCCCAGAATGCGAGAATAGAGACCCTCCCAGAGAACCAAATGGTACATGATTAAAACGCTCAGTAAACTCCGAATGCAGTGCTATGTGCGAGCAACGTGCCTGGGATCGTCTTGAATCGACCAGACCAAACGCCGAGCCCGAAGGTGGTACAAGACCGTAAGGAAGAATCCGCGAAGCGGGTCGCGATGTGTACACGCGGGTCCGAAATCGCGGAACGTGCTACAAATGACGTGCTGGTCGTGTCATTGCAGCAAGGAGCTCAAACGCTCTCAACGAAGGCAGATTGACGTGTCTCGGACGATCGTCGCTTCTTCTGGAGCTTCTTCCCTGTCGATTGTCTCCGTTCGGCGAGTTCCACCTCCTCTGGTGTGGGCGGCGCGAAAGTGCCTGGCTTCAAGACCTGAAAGCCGGAATTTACGTTGCGAAGGACTTGAGACTCGCGCTGGTTTTGCTCGGTAGAGACCTCGTATGGTACCTCATCATACGAGTACTGGTGGTGAGGGCCACGAGGTTCGTAGGTGTCAGGGTAATAGGCCGCCTTTGGCGCATACGACTCCATCAGAGGCACACCTTGCTTAGCCTGGTTGGAAGCGTGGCTATCCTGGACATGACTCGATGCGTGTGTGGCTGCGGACTCGTCTTGTGGGTCGATAATAGAAGCGAGCGGCGGAGAAGGAGTCTTCTGAGGCATGAAATAGTTCACACCATTGACTGTCTGAATCTGGTTATCCGCCACGCTGGCCCACTCTCCGCTATTACCTGGCTTGCGAACGCGAGGTGTGAGTTGTCCAGTCTCAGCGACGTGGGACATGCGATGGCTTTGGAGAAGGTCGAGGTCGGTGCGAGGGTCAACAGGTACTGGAATCGATGCAGGTCTGATGTAGGCAGTTTCGTAGGAGCGGACGTCTTGCTGAATGGCCATGTAGTCCGACTCGTCGCTTGTGCGCCGGCTGGACTTGTTCGACGAGACAGCGGAGTGAGCATGGGTATCGGTGCGAGCTGTGCAGTGAGTCAGCTGATGATGCGCCTTAAAAGGGGAGTTGACTTACGTGAAGGAGGTCCAGATGGGGCCCCAGAGCGCGATGACTCGAGGGCTTTGAGTGCCGTAGGGTTGTGCGCGATATGATGGTTGCAGTTACCGCATCGCACGGGTGCAGCTTGGCTGCGACCAGGTGATGGCGACCGGGAATCAGTGGGTACCCGCTCGGCAGAGACAGCGCGGTCGAATGAGCTGCTTGGTGCTCGCGAGCTATTGCGGCTGGAGCCGTAGACTACTGCTTGGGGGAGCTCGAGCTGCGAGTTGTTGTAGCTGTTGCTGTAGCTGTTGCTATAGCTGCGTGGAAGCTTCTCCTCCATGATGGAGTTGCGGCTGCTGCCAACTGGCGTGTTGGTCCTCGAAATCCAGACACCGTCGACTTCGATTCCACTCTGGATCGCGCGGATACCGAAGGGGATTTCGTCTTTGGTTTCTATGCTCACAGCAGTGACTGGCTGTGCCTCGAGCATCTCTGGC